CCTTAAGCAGATGCCCAACTTACAGTGTCCTCTGCTGCCGAGCTGAGCCCGCGTCTCCAGCCTGTGTCCCAGTGACGAAGGGCTCGGAGCCTGCACGGAGAGGGGATTTTTTTACAGGACAAATATTTTTCTCCCGCTGCTGGACGGCTGATCCGAAGGAAAAGCTGGAAACAAGTTCATTGGTTTTGCTCTCGCTCCCTGTCCTTGCCCTAATTTTTTTTTCCTGGCAGCTGGCGGGAGGAAGGGAGCTGGCAAGGTGATGCTTTTTTGGGAAGAGGGGAACTGCTGGTGAAAGAGGCATTCACCGCACCGGGAGCCTGGGAAAGCCGAGAGCCGGGGGGCCGGCGGGAGGGCGGGAGCCTGATCAGCGACCACCGTGCCGGGGCTCACGGCCGTGCCCGGGCTGACCGTCGTGGTCGTGCCGAGGCTCATGGCCAAGCGGAGGCCGGCGGCAGGTGGAGGGGCGCCGGCGGGATGCACCAGAAAGCCAATGACATCATGTTGTGGGTTTGTTTTTTGTTTTTTTTTTCTCCAGGATGAAATTTGCAGACAACTTCCCCAGGCGCCCGCGAGAGCTGGGGCTCCGCGGTGAGGAGCGGGACAGGTCTCCCCAGGACACACAGGCGCCCATCGACGGAGTGCAGGGCTTGGCTAGGGCTTTATTTTTTTTTATCCTTTTGGGTCAGAAAAGCTACGTTTTATTTCTTAACCCACTGGTGCTACGCGAGGGGCTCCCCGGCACACAGAGAGCAGGTCCGGCCGGCGGCTGAGCAGACCCAGCCCGGCACAGCCGGCGCCAGCACCCCGTCGGGGACCCCCCATCCCCACGGCGGGGCAGGATCCGTCCCCGGCCGCCCAACCCGGGATGGCTCCTTTCGCCTCTTCCCTCTTAATTTTGTTTAGAAACTTGTCAGGTTGGTAGATAAAGGAGGTGGAAAGATCAATCCCGGCTTTTCATCAGTGTGGGAAAAAGTATTTCACTAATCCATATTTATTGGTGTAAGGAGCCGGGGGAGGGGGGGAGGGCGAGAGACCCTAATGGTCAGAGCAAAGGACAGAAGGGACAGTTTAAGGCTGCCCTTTTCCGAGAGGTCACATGTCACCAAAATCTTTCGGTTGTCTCGGGATTGGTTACATTCTGTTCTCTTTTTTTCTATTGAGGTTGCCAAGCAACTGGCTAAGACCAGCCAAGATATTTTCTTTATTACAAGTGGAGCAGAAAGCAGCAAGGAGGAGAGAGATAAAAAAAAAAAAAAGGGGGGGGGAGAGAGGAGAAGAAGTTTAGACAATTAACATTTATAGGATCACATAACTTCATTAACTCGGCCGAGATTTAGGAAAGAGACTTAAAAAAAAAAAAAAAGGTGGTGATGGGGAGCGTTAGGAATTAAAGCAAGTTAAAAGGCCTGCAGGTCCGGGGCTAAAACAATGCCAGAACACCCGGAGCAGCGCCGGGGGCTTCCCTCGGATGGTTCCCGCTTCCCAAAGAGCGGCAGGTCCTGGGCGATGGCTGCAACCCAGCACAGGGGCCTTCAGCTGCTGCTGCTGCTCTTTTTTCTTTTTATTAAATGCCGGCTTTCTTTTGATTTTCACACTCGTAGGAAGTGGGTTTATTGCTACTAGTGCTGGCAGGGAGGTGTGGGGAGGCAGGGGAGCCCTTCAGAGGGAGGCACATGGCTGTGGCAGGAGCTCAGCATCCTCCTGGACCTGACCCATGAGGCAGAGGCCATGGGGACGTTTCTATCCCCAAGCCCTGGAACACCTTCATGCCTCTTCAGGGTGGGCAAAACCTCCCAGGGTGAGAATGAGACTCTGTGGGAGAGCAGTCCCCAGTTGCAGATCCCTGCCCCACTGATCCTTGCTCAGGATTTGGGCCTGACACTGTCTCTGACGGTCTCCCTGGGCTCCAGGGGCCAGGCCTGAGGCAGGGAACATCACTGAGGGCTGGGGGCAGGGACTGGGGTCACTCTGCAGCTCCGTGGGGTTGGGCTGCTCCAAGCATCCCTGGGAGTTTCTCTCCCAGCACTCACGGATCCCTCTCCCCATGGGGCCAAACCCTATCCGAGGACACGGGGGGAGCCGAGGAGGAGCGGAGACCCCCCCAGCCAACCCCCCAGGGACCACTCCGGTTCTACCCAGGGACCCCAGTGACACCCAGGGTGGTGGCAGGTAGCAGTGGGGTGAAGGCAGGGAACACCTCTGTGCTCTTCTCCGCGGCTGCGGGGATCCCCGGCAGGTCGGAGCTGGGGGTCCCCAGGCGGGGAGAGGCAGGCGATGCCCCCACTCCCCCGGCCGGAGCCCGCAGCTGCCGGCCTGGCAACTCGGTAATATTCATTAGGGGAAAAAAATGAGCATTATTTATCCCCGGCACTTTCCCTGCCGTGGGGGGCCGGGGTGGGGTGCAGGTGACCCCATACCCCACGGGGTACCCGGGCACTTCCACTGCCGCGGCAGCGGGACCGACGGGGTTCCCCAAGGGGGACCGAGTGGATGAGAGGGGACCCGAGCCCCAGCTCTGCCCGGCGGCTCGGGGGGAACCCTCGGAACCCCGAATGGGGCCAACCGCGCCATCCTCGGGGCCGGGCACCCAGCCCCCGGGGCAGAGAGAACCCCGCGCCCCGGTCCCGGCGGTGCGGGGGCTGCGGGCCGGGCCGGGGTTTGGGAGCTGTGTCTTTAAGAGATGGCTGGCTCCAGGTTGCAGCTGCTGTTTCTGTGCTATAGAGACAGTGGAGATTCATTACTCCTAAAACACAATGGGCATTTATCACCCCGTGGTGTTATTCAAATCCAGTACCAATTGAAGGTCATCCCCATTCTTTTCTCGCCGGCTCTGCAACACATTTATTGTTGTGCCGTTCAACTAAAAGCCCTGCCCGGCCCCGGCGCAGCCCGCAGAGCCCCGGTGTGCGCATCCCTCCCGGGCGGATTTGGGACCCTCCCGGGTGGATAC